ACCTATCATACTCCTATTAATATGTTACAAGGGCTTTCATGCTAAATAAATTATGACTAGAATAATGTTTATTTTCATTAAAATGTTGTCTATGCTAAAGTGCATTTATACGATATATGTATACATACATTAACACGCACATTCATTAAAATAAAATAAAAACCTACTGTGAATAACCCAATCTTGAATTTAATATATACCATAAAGGATGAAAATAGCTAAACATCAAATTATTAACCAAAATACAAATTGATTAGTACATTACTCAAGTCTGCCATAGGACTAAATTGTCAAACATCAAAACTCACAAGCTAAATGCAAAATAAACGAAAATGAAAAATAACATAAGCTGGTGACCAAAACAGAATGCGCGTAAACTAGTAGAACCGAATTAAGAAAACGGAAAAGACTGACTCAAGGACTAAAATATAATTAATTAAAAGATACTGGACTTCGCACCTGATTACCCCTAACGACCTAAAACACGGATGTGATATAACTCTCAAAACGTCGCCGTTTCGACCCATTCCAAACGACGTCGCATCACTCCCGGACTCAAAGCGTTGCCTTTTTTGCTCAGTTCTAAACGACGCCGTTTTGGTTACTGGATGTATTTGATACTTAGGGTAAATTTTTTTTAACCTAATTCATTATCTTCTTCATCCTTAAACCGACCCTCGCCGTTCTCTCATCCCTTCTTCCTCAACCCTCAACGAGACCCAAACCACACCGTGGCTGCCATGGCCACCCCTCCTAGAGCTCCGGTGAGGAGCCACACCGGTACGATCTCAACCTCGAAAACAACCTTGAACCCAAAACTTCTAATATCTCGACAAAATCAAGACCCATGCACCACCACCCTTCTTCTTCCCTCAAGGCTTCGCCGAGAAAACCCAAGACCCGATGACCCTCATCTCCCCTCGCTCAGGACCTAGACTCACAAGCCAAACCTAAACCTCATTGAGAACCCTCCTAAATCCCTAAAACCAACATAGATCTAAGGTCAAAAGAGGTTACCTTAACGACTGGTGGTGGCTTTGGCCTTAAGCGATGTGAGTGAGTTTCTTCAGACGAATAAAGGTACGGGTTTCGTTTTCTATTTTTCAGTTGTTTCACTCTCTGGTTATGAATGTTTTTCTTTGTTTTGTGGATCTCTCGTTTGCTGTGGTTGATCTTTTTTTCTCTTGCTTTCTATTTTTTTTGTGTTGATGGTTGTTTTTTTGTGTTTCTCTTGTTGTTATTTCTAGTTGATTTCATCTTTGTTTTTTCTGTACCTTCTGCTCTGTTTCTTGTTTGGTGTGTTTGCAGGTCACGGGCGCGAGCTGCTCACGGGCGGCAGTAGCCTGGGCACGGGTGATGGGGAATCGAGCAGTTGCGACAGTCTCGGTCTGCTCGAGAGTGGTCGACAGGCATGGCAGACAGATCCTAGTGCTGGCTCGGGCTTCTGGGAGGACTGTTGTAACCTTTTTTTTCCTTAAATTCAGGCCTGTTAAAATCAAATAAATGTTTAGTGTATTTTTTAAATTTTTTTAATTGTTTAATTACTTAGCTATATATATATATTAATAACTACATAATATCAAACTTATAATAATAACCAAAATTATAATAACAATAATAATAAAACCCGATTAAATGCAAATAACACCCCGGACAAATCAAGCATCTACATAACTAATTTAAAAAATATATCTAAAATTATAACAAAGTTTATAATCATAATTGTAAAATAATCACATAAATAAAATATTATCTTAAAACTATTGACACAAAAAATTAGTCACTTTGAATCATACAAGGACCATATAAGGCAAATATGATAAACCCATCAAAAAATGTGAACAAATGATAGAAACAAATATATATGATTGCACTAATAAATGGACCAAAACAAGATATCAAACTATTGAAAGATCATCGACAAACACACGTTAGAGTCAAATTTTTTCAGAAAATTATCTACGAACATTAATTGCATATCTAAGTTCAATCTGATGGTCCAAAGAAGAGAATATCAACAGGATAACAAAGAAGCGTCATCTTAATCATTCGCAACGACGTTAAATCCAATCCTGATAAAATCATTCAAAAGTTTCGAGCATTCTAAATTTTTACTATCATTCTAAATTAATCCCAAAACTTCTGAGCATGATAATGTCTCCCAAAATCATTCAAAAGTTTGGAGATGAAATTGGAACACTCAAAAGTTTGGGAACCAATATGAAATGAGGATTATAGTTGGGAGATAAATTTAGAATATTCAAAAGTTTGAGACTAATTTAAAATAGAAGTCATAGTGTGGAGATGAAATCAAAAAATGTAAAAATTTAACGACCAATTTAGAATAAAGATTATAAGTTAGGGACATGTAGTGTAATTAACTTTATTTTTTTATTATAATCAATTACATAGGTGAGAATTTATCATATTTAATATAAAATATTTATAAAAATAATAATGAAATAACTAAATAATTAAATTGAGTTTATAACTTGTAAAGTGATCACATTATTTTCAACCAAATAAAAGGATTAGTGACAGGCAGAGAGCGATTGGCCTGAGCCACGCAGGTTTTTGCCTTCGGCCTCCTCCATATGCCCTTGTGAAAACAATAGTCCCACCCCACTTCCAGCCAAAAATCTTAGGCCATGAGAACAGAAGATGTGAAAATGGAAATAGATAGATAGAAAGAGGGAAAATGGGTTTCGCATCAGTTAAACCAGGCGCCAATACCAGCAACTGCAACAAAGAAAGCAAGGTCATGGGTTTACTCTTGGTGTTCTTCCACGGCGGAGGAGATCAAACCAAAATCACATCGGATTCCACAGCCATTAATGACCAAAACAATACCACTAATACTACACCAACAACAAGGTTAATGAGAAGAAGAACCAGTTCCACTCTCCTTTCTTCCAAAGCTCAATTCACCATTTCGATTTGCCTTCTCTTGGTTTTCATCACTCTTCTACTCTTCACTCTCTCTACTTTTGAACCCTCTCCCACCATCAAAAACCCTCGTCGAATCTTGTACCAGAAGACTCAATTTCCTCCTCCTCCCTTTAAAGGCTTCTTCCCGATTTGGGATTATAAACCACTGAGCGTCAAGCAGAAACCCAGTGTTTCTCCCTCTTCGTTCGCTTTGCAGAGGATGGGAATTTTGTATAGACGTGGGACGAAAGCCATGAACGATCTTATAGTCGGCCATGTTGATGAAGGTTTGACTGAAGATGAGCTCAGGCTTTTCTTGAGAGTCTTGCATAGGTCCGGTATCACTTCGAAAGCCGACATTGTTTTTCTCTTTGCTTCTTCAACTTCGACATTCAGCAACGTTATTCATGAAGAGAACGACTCGTTCTTGAAACTCATTCAACACTACAATGAGCCTAATAGTAAGGGTCACCGTGACTCGGTGTTCGGTTTTGACTCGACCCAGTTTTGGAAATCTGGGAAGAAAGAGGTTGGGGAGACTATTTGGGGAAAGAAGGGGGCCCGAGGGAATTCTAGTAATTCAACTGAAGCTGAAGGTGAGTCAACTCGGTTGACTTACGGCTCGGTTGTGGGATTCGATGTGAACGAGTTGGATCCAGAGAACTCGCTGGCTGGGTTTTTAGATCACGTTTCGATGAGTTTCAGAAGATGGGCTTGTTATCCGATGCTATTAGGAAGAATCAGGCGGAATTTTAAGCATATAATGTTATTGGATGTTAAAAGCTTGATGGTACTTAGTGACCCACTCGGCCGTGTCAGGAATCGGAGTCCCGAGTCTGTTTACTTGTTAACAAAGGAAAGCAGTTCCGGCAAGCATGGCAAGAGGAACTCGGATAAACCCAGTCTCATTCTCAAATTAACTCGGCCATTTTGATGGGTGGAGCTAGAGGGATTCGGAGGTTAGCCAATGCAATGTTGACGGAGATTGCTAGAGCTACCATGCAGCATAAGAAGAAGAAGAATTCGATATCCGAGTCAGAAATCTTGAGTCAACTGGTCGGCAATGGGCATGTACTGAAGAATGTTGATGTGATCACATCGAGCGAGTCCATTCAGGAAGCGAGTTCACTCACGGGTTCCAGGTCCAACTCAGCTGCAGCAGATTTTTTAATAATCCAACGTGGTAATAGTAATCATGATCTTCATCCCATAATTATGCAGCTAATGTGCTTATCGGAAACAAATTCTTACGTTTATAGGGATTGTTAGAAAAATATAATATATTAATTAGCCTTTTGAAAATAAATAAATATATATAACTTTCTTTCTTCTTTTAATGTATAAATAGTTTTAGATTATAGGGATTGATTTACTAGCCCAATAAAGAAGATAATTTTGTTTGTATGATCAACCTTTTTTTCTTCCTTTTGTTATTTTGTTAATATTTCCTAATTGTGAATTAATTTTCTATATATAATTTATAATTCTAGTAATTTATAATTTATAATTCTAGTAATTAAATAATTTTGAATCCATTTTTTATATATTCTAAATTCATAATTAGGACGGACGTAATATCTTATGTTAAAAGGGGTGAATTTGAACTTATACAATTCTATAAGTCGACAATAAATTTTCAATAAAAAATATATAATTTTTAAATAAATAATAATTTTAAATTTTTATGGTAATAATTTATGTTATAAATCAGATACATAAATTTTGTAATAAATGAAAAAAAAATTGGTACGGTTTAGTCTGTCAAGTAGGTATGAGACAATAATAAAGGAGTAAAAAAATTGTAGGTTTTAAAACAATTTTGGCCCTTAAATTAAGAGAAAATAACCTTAAATTTTTAAATTAACCGATGAAAAAAAGTAATAAATTTGTTAAGGCAGTGCTAATTATTTTCATTAGGTAATGCTAGTAATTTTTTTTTTTGGATAATTCCATTCATTACCCAAGAAACAGGAGACCTGCTACAAAATACAGAGTTCATAAAACAGCAGCCATAAAATAACCAGCAAAACAAAACAAAAAACACAGCAGGAAACAAAGGGAGAAAGATTCAATTAAGAAATGCCCCAACTAGTGCATAGGCCAGCATTTCTCAAGTCAGCTCTATTAACAGGCATCCCGGACAAACGAATCTGAACGGCTTCCTTAATGTCTTGCAGAACAGCCTCCAACGGCCTCGGGCTGCCCCCGAACAATCTGATGTTTCTCTCTTTCCAGGTGCAGTAGACGTGAGCATTCCAGGCGAGCTTGAGAATCATAACAATGAGAGACTTACACTTGAGGCAGTGAATCGCCCAAGCCAGCTCTCCATCCCAACTGCTGACCATTCGAGACACACCACACAAAGCAAGGATAAATCCCCAAAGGCCTTTTGCAAAACTACAGCCAAAAAATATGTGCTCCCTAGACTCTGCCTCAAGACCACACAAAACACAATTGACATCATCAATAACAAGTCCCATTTTTTGTAGTCTTACCCACGTAGGAAGACGATTTAACAAAGCTATCCATGTAATAACACTCTGCTTGGGGATACGCCCCAAGAACCAAACCAAGTGCTGCCAAGGGACTTTGGGCGCTGTGACACGCATGCCTTCCCAGATTTGTCTCACACTAAGGTCAGAAACCGAGCCAGTAAAAATATGAGATATAGCAGGTCTAAATTTCAAAAGGCATTTGAAGCTCCAGCTAACATTATTGGGGATGTTCAACTGCCAAAAGTCATCATTTTTTATCACATAGAACCGCAACCAAGCCACCCAAAGATAGCCCTCGTTGGCTAAAAGTTTCTTGATTAAGTGCACGATGCATGCCTTGTTCCAACCACCAATATCCTGTACACCCAAACCCTTTCAGACTTTGTTAAGCAAACTTTCCTTCATCTAACACGAGCACTTTTCACAGGCATATCAGATCCCTTCCAAAAAAATCTAGAACATAGCTGCTCAATAGCTCTAATAATCTCCTTAGGCAAGATAAGCTGCCTACACCAAAAATTTGCCATACTAAATAAAACAGCCCGAATCAGCTGTAGTCTACCAGCGAAACTGAGGTGCTTATTGGCCCATATATTCAATTTAGCTTTGATTTTATCAATGAGGCTATGGCAATCCTTCACAGATAACTTCCTAGATACCAACGGAACACCCAAGTATCTCACCGGGAGACTACCCAATGTAAAACCGGTAATGTCCTTAATAGCAGCACATTGCTGAGCAGAAATTCCAGCAGGATAAATTTCACATTTGCTAGCATTCAACTTAAGACCCGACATCGAATAAAAAATGTCCAAAACAGCTTGCACCCCAACTACAGAGTCCATGGAGCCTTTACAAAAAACGAGCAAGTCGTCCGCAAAGTAAAGGTGAGGGAGCCCCATTTTTTTGCACTTAGGGTGATACTTAAACACCCCCTTAGCAGCAGCTAGGTTTAAAAGCCTAGATAAAACATTCATAGCCATAACAAAGATATAAGGGGAAAGAGGGTCCCCTAACACCCCGGGCACCTTTAAAGTATCCAACTAGGCTACCATTAAGGACAATTGAATAGCTAGGCCCTGTAATAAATGTCCATATCCAGCCAACAAATTTTTCAGGTAAACCCAAAGCATGCAATATGATTCTCACAAATTCAAAATCTAAAGAATCGAAAGCCTTTTGCAAATCTATTTTAAGAGCACATCTAGGCGAAATATTCTTCCTAGAATAGCCTCTAACAAGTTCCTGAGCAAGAAGCGTGTTATCTACAATGCTTCTCCCCTTCACAAAAGCGGATTGATTCATAGAGATCATGCTAGGGAAGATAACAGACAACCGATTCACCAAAATCCTAGTGGCAGTTTTGCAAATGACCGAGCAACAAGAAATGGGCCTATAATCCTTAACCATGTTTCAGTTGGAGGTTTAGGGACCAAGACTACAGCAGTAGCGTTGAAAGACGGTAACATAAAAGAATTTTCGAAACAATACCTAATAGCTGCCACGAAATCACTCCCAACAATAGGCCAAGCACACTTGAAGAAGTAAGCATTAAAGCCATTCGGCCCAGGGGACTTGTTATTATCTTGCCCCCAAATAGCATCTTTAATCTCCACATCAGAAACGTCTTTGATTAAAGCATCCGCAGCACCTCTTGGCAGGGAGAAATCAAGAAGGTCATTGATAACATTAGCATTACAACACTTGACATTCGGGTCAACCATCCCGAGCTGCTTCTTAAAGAAACGAATGACCTCATTCGACATGAGATCGAAAGAATCCAATTTAACCCCATCTTGGTCATAAAGGACTCGGATAGTGTTGCTCATCCTTCTGCTGGCCACCATGGAGTGGAAAAAACGAGTACCTTGATCACCATCCTTAATCCAGTCCACTTTAGCCTTTTGTTTGTAGAAAAGCAACTCCGCTTGCTAAGGGCTCGAAGATCTCTTTCAACCGCCAGTTCATCTATAACAAAATTGCCAACAGAACCGGAACATAGATTGGAGAGCTGAATGCTTTTAAGCTCATCTCTCTTCGCCTGAACCTGCCCCGAAATATCATGAAAGTGAGACTTATTAAGTTCTTTGAGACGGCATTTTAAACGCTTGAGCTTCAAAAAAGAGATTGAGCTGGATTTCCAAGAACCGGAAGCTGCCACGAATCACTAACAATAGAGAGGAAATCTGGATGCAAAGCCCAGAAATTAAAAAACTTGAAAGGTTTCGACTTATCACTGGGGGCATCCTTATTAAGCCAGACAAGGGTCGGGCAGTGATCTGAATCCCCAGGAGCTTGGAACTCCACCACCGAGGACGGAAAAGCCATAACCCAGCTAGGATTGATGAGGACACGGTCCAACTTGCGAGCCAAGTAAGAATCCTGCTGTTTGTTAGACCAGGTGAATAAAGGGCCAGTAAACTGATGATCAAAGATTCCCAATACTTCCACGCATCTCTGGAAATCAGACATATCAGGAAAGAAGCAGAATTAATGGGCTAGTAATTTTTTTATATGAAACTAAAAAGATAAAATATTTAAAAATTATAAAAATATTTCCAAAATATATGAAAACATAATTAATTTGCTAAAAATTATAAAATATCAACATTTGTAAATATATATATATATATATATATATATATATATATATATATATATATATATATATAAATTATAAAGAAATCCGATATATTTTTGTTTGTTGGTTAAATAAAAAAATGAATGTCAAATTTGGCAGAAAAAAGTTTAAGGATTAAAATGTCTATTTTTAGGAGTTGGAGGAGCTAAAAGTTTCATTACACCAAAATCGTATTTAATTTATATTTTATGGGTATCTACTTTGCAATTTTTCACCTAGTTGATTGGGCAATGAATTCTGCGACTATACTTGCTTGAAAGCAAGCAACGATGTCGTTTTGCCAGGTACATTTTTATAGTTAAATTGTAAAAGAAAACGATAAACATAAATCAAATAATTTGACCTTGGATTTTTTATTTCATATTTTTTATCATTATATATTTTTATAACTATAATTTTTTTAAAGTAAAGCAATATTTATTATTGTCAAACCTTACACATTTTGATACATTAATTTATCATTTTTATAAATGTGATACATATATTCTTTTGATCAATTTGGTGCCTATAACATCAAACATTACATATCTGGTACTCGTATTTATTAAATCTAACGTCAAATGTTTAAAAAGTATAATGTGAATTATGAATTTCATTTTATTTATTATTTTTAAATTATTTAATGTTAATTATTTTATTGTATATTTAATAAATATAAATATCAAAGATATAAGATTTAATAAATATAAATATTTAATTTATAAAAAAAATTAAATATCGTATTTGTAAAACTGACAATATCAAAGATCAAACTAATTAATAAAATAAATAATATATTTATAAAAATGATAAATTTTAATATATTAAAGGTATGGGTAAATTACACGCTTACTCACTTAATTTTACTCTCTCTCCTATTTCACTCACTGTACTTTTAATTTTTTCAATTTACTCACTTAACTTTAGATATTAATTTTTTTGTCACTCGACTGTTAAATTTTTAAAGCTGTTAAATTAAAATTGAAAAAAAATTAAAAGTACAATAAGTGCAATATGAGAAAGAATAAAATTCAGTGAGTAAACACGTGATATATTTTATTATTAAAATAAGTCACGTAAACATCTCATTACTGAGTAAACGGTGGAATGAAAAAAATTAATATTTAAAGTTCAATAAATAAACATATAATTTATACTAAAATTAATTTATATAAAGAATTCAACCATTCATGGTATAGGAACAATGGAATTTAGGTGCAATCAATGTTAAACTACAATTTCCACAGTAAATGAGTTGAGTACGGTGACCTTTGTGATTGATTTGACCCAATAATGAAAATTGTTTACACATTGCTAAAATTCCTTCTTCATTTTCTCCCACTTTATTCCAAAAGAAAGAAAGAAGAACTAAAGAACAAAAACAACTTATCATATACCTTTTTGAAAGAAAAAAAACCATCGACCCTTTATAGCCAATCACATTTTGTATATAAATCTTTTAAAAATATTAATTATTCCACCATTATGTGTCCTCAAAAACCAATTTTTTTATGAAAAAATATAATTTAGTATTTATTTAAAGATAATTATTAATCATTTAACATTAAATACTTATATTTTTAGATTTTTTTTTCTCGAACATATTACCTTAAAGAATGACAAATATTCACTTACCACCGAGATTGCTCGATTTATGTAAAAGTCAATTTCCTTTACTTATAAGCAAGATATATCAAATGATTCTATGCAAACACGTTACATATTTAATAAAAACAACATATATTTTTTTATTTACAATTTTGACCTTTTGTTATATAATTGCATTTCTTGTTCATGGAATGTATTTTGAAAGAGAGTAATTGATAAGTATATTTTCTTTTGAAGGAATGACCGATGAAGTATAAAATTCAAACTACAGGCGTAGGAAATCGCGAACATGTTGATTAGCACCACGTGGATGTGGATGTGGACGTGACCGTGATCTAGTTCTGCTCCGCTGTCAAAGTAATGCCAATAAGTTATTACATTCAACATATAAACTTAAAATATTGTTACTGTTCATATATATATATATATATATTATGCCGTTAAACAGTCTTTTATATATAAAAAATTAATCACGTGCGGAGGGCAGGAAATTAAGTATGTGATTGGTATTCCCAGTAAGATTTTCTCTCTTTTTAACAGTATCGGGATTATGGACGAGTGTTTATTTCATAAGAGTGGTAGAAAAAATTGAGGTAATTGAATTATTGTGTATTAATTTATAATTTAAATTTTATTTCCAATTATTAGTTGATTTTTAGAATAAATTTAGGTCAAATTCAATATATTTTATTAGATTTTTTAAAATTTAGCTATAATTTTTTATAATATTATGTTATGGATTGATTCTAATTTAATAATTTTTTATTTATAATATATATATATATCATAATTTTCACATATATAAATAAAAATTGTAATTGTATTTAATAAATTAAATATATATAAATTGTAATTGATTCTAATTTAAATAATTTTTTATTTATCTATAATATATATATATATATATATATATATATCATAATTTTCACATATATAAATAAAAATTTTAATTGTATTTAATAAATATAATATAATATAATATAAAATTTAAATAATTTTTTATTTAATATATTTTGAAAATAAAGAATTGCAGTTAGATAATGATAGCGAATAAATTTGTGAGATAAAGAGAAAAATGATTTTTTTAAAAAAAATAGAGATAAATCATAAAAATAAACTATTAGATAAAAATTGATATAATTTAAATTAATTTTTTATTATTTAAATTTTCAAAATTTACATTTGGTTTGAATTTAAAATTTAAATATTTAATTTAAGTTTTTGATTAAGCTAAGATGATTATAAACTAATATATGTTTTAAATAATTTTGACCATTGACAATAAACGTTCAATCACCTTGCTGCAATCGTTAGTGTTCGAATTCGTGACCTCTAAAAATAACAACGATTTTTTAACTACTAAGATAAGATAATTCGTGCACTTAATTTAAATTCATTTAAATAATTTAAAACTAAAAAAATAAATAAAATAAAATTTTATTTCCTCTTAAGCAAAATAATATTAAAAAATTAAAATTATAAAATAATTTTAATAATAAATATTGAAATGCGGATTCTGACATTCAATCTTCCCTGCTGTACGGAATTAACAAAGAAGAAATTACTTGGAAGGAGGGAGGATGGAGCAGCGTTTGGAACTCTGTTTTGAAAATCGGATCGGATCGTTCGGTTTAACCGGGAATTGTTATTTTGTTCGATTCAATCTAAATCTGTTGAACCGTTATTAGTAAACCGGCCAGAACAGTTGAACCGTTCGAACCGGATCGGCTGAAAACTGAAAAAAATCGGGAAAAACCGGGAAAACCCGGATTTTTTTTAAAAAAAAATTAAACCAAATAACGTCGTTTGTTAAACGAGCCAAGTCGAACTTGAGTATTGCTGAGCTCGACTCGAACTTGAAAACTTTAAAAGTAAGCTCAACTCAACTCAAACTCACAAGCTAAAAATTATCAAGTTCAACTCAAACTCGAAATATAATATTGAAACTTGAACTCAAAAAGGCTTGAACTAAAAAAAAATTAGAAGCTCGATTGAAGCCTAAAATTCGAGCTTGATTAAAGTGAAAGAATAGTTCACTCAATGCTCACCAAAAGGCTCCATGATTTTGAATGTCAAATTACCTATATTATTTATAGAAGTTAGTTGTGATGCGGTTCTATGTTTCTTAGCAATGTGAGATTGTTTTGTTTTCATATTTTTACTCTTTAGACTTTTGGGATGCTCTTCTATGTTTCTTAGCCATGTGAGATTGTTTTTAAAAAAAAAATTAAACCAAACAATATCATTTTGTTATGATTTTTTAATCCCAAATTTATTTTTTAATTATAGTTATATAATTATATTTATTATTTAATATGTTTTACCTTAAATATTATGTTGTAGTTAATTTGAATAATTTTGTTTCACTTGATTTTATGGTTTTTAACTTATATATGTTATGACTTGCTTTGAATATGACTTGTGATATAAAAAATTATTTTTTATTAAATATTTTTGGTATTTTTATTTAAATTTTTAAATAATTATGATATCGTCTGATTCTTTCGACCGGTCGGACCGATTCGACCGGTTGAACCAGTGAACCGATAGCATTACCTGTTCGCTAATCGATCTAGTTCTAAAAACCATTGTTTGGAATGA